GGCCTTCCTTCAGCTCCTCAGCATGACGGTCTTGCTCAGGAACAGTGCATCAGCCACCACCCTCTGCCCCAAACCTCCATTTAGCTGAGTCCTTCGTGCTTCACACAGCGTTGTTCCATATGACTTCCTTGGCCTTTTCTAACCATTTCATCCAAGGCAGCCCCTCAGGACTCCCCGCTGTTATCTCCCATTGTTTTCCTCAAACCACTTATCAGTCACGAAAATTTTTCTTTTCTGGCTCACTTTTCTTTCATCTGCCTCCCTGCACTAGGATGAACATTCCTAGCTCTCACAGGACGCCTGGTGCCAGGACGGTGCTTAGTGCTTGCTCAACTGTGAACTTTCCAAGTTCTCCTTTGCCTGCTCTTATCCTCACTCAAAAGTATTTTAAGCTATAGCCATTTACTCAACTTTTTCACACCAAAAAGGAAGAGATTCTCCTTCTCCTTTTCCTTGGGTGGACTGTGCACCTCTGCTACTGACTCACTCAACAAACAAGCAAGAAGCTATGTAGCAAGGCTACAAACACCAGTGGGACATTATCCCTACTCTCAAAGAGCTCACTGCCTCACTGTGAAGGTAAATGTGGTCATGGATCCTAGTAAGGGCCAAGTGGTAAGTAAAAGATGGGAACTGTAGCTGAAGACTATGTGAGTCCAAGTGAGCGGACTCAGAAATCTTCATGGAGAAAACAACAGGAACCGAGAGGAGAAAAATAATCTGGAGGAAGAAACGAGGAAAAGGCAAAGTGTCCTCTTGAAACACTTACCACTTGGCTCCCAGATGGTCAGCCTTCCCGCAGTTTCCGTCCTTTCAGCCACTCCACTGCAGTCCCCTTTGCTGTTTTCCCCTCGCCCTCCTATCTTTAAGTACTGGAAGAGCTCAAGGACTCATACTTCTCTCTCTCTAGTCCCTGGGTAATCTCACCAAGGTATCAACTCTAAAACCATCTATATGCCATTAGGTCAAAAATCCTTCTACCTTGGACCAATCAATCCCCTGAAACTTTAAAGCCCCATACCACAATCTACTCAGTTGTTCCCACATGCATGAGTGACATGCCTCTCTATCTTGATGTGCTTTGACTGAGTTTCCAATGCCTAGCCCCAGCCCATTCCTTTCCAATGTTTCCTGTACCCATAAACGGCAACTCATTCTCCCATTCACTGTGGTTAACAGCCTTGGAACAGCTTCTAGCTATGACTGAGTAGCTTCAATCAGAGAAATATTTATTATGGAATAACTATAAAAGTTAAAAAGAAAATCGAATTTAAAAACAAACAAAAAGCCAGACAAGTTGCTCAAAAGCACTGGAAAGGATCGGGAAGTAAAGGACTGGGATCCCAGGGAGGAGAGATACACAAAGTGGCACAAAACTTTTCATTGTTTTCCTTCTTTGGGTGTTTGCTGAGTTTCTGTGCCTTCGCAGGGCACCGGGCTAACACACAGCAGTGACCTCAAAGCTTCAGGAGTCTTTCCAACCTAGGAAAGAAAAAGTGGAGTTGAGAATCACAGCCAAGGCTTGAAAGGACAGGGCTAGAGTCAGAGACTGCGGAGAGGACAGTCTGACAGTCTGCTTGGTTTTCATCTTTGAGGGATTTGCTGAAATCCAAGCTGGAAAAACACTAGAAACAAGAAACCAAGGAGCTGCTAAATGACTAAAGAGCTACACAGACCTCTCAACACTCTCACAGAGCTAGAAATAGAAATGTATCTCAAGGTCATCCAAAGATAGAGACCTGTTCAACACCTAGGCTTTCTTAAGAAAGGACAGAATGATCTATGCTTTGGGGTAAGGGCAAACCATGAAAACTAAAATAAAATGCAGTAACAAAAGCAGTCTTCCGAAGTCTGAATCCTGGTTTAAGGTCATCTTCTCCCACACCAACTGCCAACTAGAGTAAAATCAAATCCTTGAGCTGGGGGAGTACTTCGGTTGACTGAGCACTTGCCTAGCAGGCTCGAGGCCCTGCGTTTGATCCTCAGCATCACAATAATTAGTTAACTAATTAAATCATCCTGGAGAAAGACAAGGTGAGCTAAAGCATTTGTGCAAATTTTTCAACACATTGTGCATCCTTTACTCTCAACCCATAGAGTCATCTTTGGCTCTGTTCCGTCTCTCATGACCATGTCCAACCCATCTGTTTCAGCTTTCATGACTGACTCAGGATCTTCTCATACACCTTCCTCCTGACCACTAGTCTCAGGCACCTCCTTACCCAGGCAAACTGGGTAAGAGCCTCCTGCCAGGTTTCCCTACCTCTGCTTCTGCCTCACTTCAGTCTATTCCCAATCCAGAAACTGGAGGGGGTGCGTTTTTAACTAAATTGTCAAGTGTCTACTCAAAACTCTCCAGGGGGTGGGAGGGTAGCCCTGGAGCAAATCCAAAGCCTTTGCACTGACCTCCGACAGGGCACAGCAATGGGGCTGCTGCTTTTCTCTCCCCTAGGCCCCCACTGCTCCACTTCCTCAACCCTGCCTGGTGTGTCTAACCTAGCACTGCCTGACTGATTGGGAATGTTCTGCCAGTCTTAAGTTTCACTACTTCATCTCCTTCTCATCTTTGCCGAATGCCTCTGACTGCATTTTCTACATCCTTCTCCAGCCCAAATCCCTAGGTCCCACTCCATCTAAGACCTGTGCTTCCTCATTTTTTCTCTTTAGTTCTTATATCTGCCTGTATTTTACTCACTTGATTTTATGATTTTACTAAAGTACAAATTCCATGAAAGCAAGAATATGGTTTTATTTTGTTTTGTTTCCTTCTGTACCTCCAAGGCATGAAGGAAGGAAGACCAGTGCTTGGAACACAGCAGATACTCACAACTATTTAATGACCAAATCATTTAATTTCAGACCATCCGATACTGTTATACAGAACACTGACATCCAGGATTGTCATCTGAGAGAAAAGTCAACACAAAAGAGATTTAGTTGCCTCATACAAAGTAGTACTATACACCAAAGAAGTGAATGAGATTTCCATGGGAGTCAAATAAAAAGTAGCAGACTGAGGACAAAAAGCTAGAGAAATGTCACATTCTTCATGAATCCCAGCTGGAGCTGCGATGACCCAATTGGTTACCCACTCAGTACCAATTCTTCCCTATGCAAACATCCTCCAAATCGACCTGTTCCTTCCTCCCAGAAGTCCCTAAAGCCTGAGGCTCCAGTCTAATCCAAACACGGTGGTCCTATACAGGGCCCAAACTTGTACACATGACATGATGTAACTCTAGTCACTTGATAGTTGACAGGTAAGGTTTCAGCACTCCAATAAACACAACAGAGCAAGGCCCCTCTTCTATTTTCTATTCTTTCTTCTTTTGCTATCTTGTTGACACCAATGACCCAGTTGACAAGAGTGGAAGGGTGGGGGAAAGTGTTCCTCCCAGCGTACCAAGATCTCCAGTTACCGTTCTATCTTTAGTTTATGTAAATGTTTTGACTGCATATATACATATATCTATAAGTGCACCCATGGCATGCAATGCCCACAGAACCCAGAAAAGTGTTGGATCCCCCTGGAACTGGACTTACAGTTGTTAGCCCATATGTTTGCTAGGACCCAGAAACAGAACCTGGCTCCTCTGCAAGAGCAGCCAGTATTCTCCACCCCTGAGCCATCTCTCCAGCTCCTCTATCTCTTAAGTGAAATAATGCTTTATTGTTTCAGCTTCTTGGAACTGGTGCCCTGTATCATGGGGAGGGGGCTTTAAAAACATTCTGATCAGCTGATGTTCAACACTGCCATGGAAGGGTGCCAACTTTCCTTTCTATATTAACTCTACACCCCATCTACGCATACCTTTCTTGAGTTCCCCAAGTATATCTGGCTTTTGAGCCTTTGGTCACAGCTATTCTTTAAAAGAAAAATTGTGTATGATAGAGAAGTAGAGATAATGTGTGCGAAAGAAGGCACGTTGTGGAGCTCAGAGACAATTTTCAGAAGTTGGTTCTCTCCTTCCATGATCTAACTGCAGGAAATGCTCTTACTCCATTTCAACTGTCCCATCACAGTCATTCTAAAGGCATTTTTTCCAAGATGCTAACCTCAGCATTATATTCATTAGTTCAATGTCACTTCTCGAAAGTTTCCTCAAAATTAAGAAATCGAATCAGAAGACTTCAGCGGGGTTTTTACCTGTTAGTGTTATTTACACAATGCTGACCCTTAGTTTTAGACCACATACTTCAAATCAGCTATACAAAAGTTCACATTTGCCAGACACAGTTCTACGTACTGAACGTCATTAACACTTTTAATCATCACAACAAATTCTAAGGGATAAATTCTATTAAACCCCCATTTTTCAGATTAGGAAAACGAAGCACGCACACACACAAAACCAACAATTTGCCTGAGTGCTGTTGAGCTAAGCCACTGCAGAGCCAGGATTCAGACCTTGGCAGCACTTATCTGCATTGAAGGTGTTAATTACATACGCACGTAATTGATAACAAGGGATACATACACTTCACAGACCACAAGCATCTTTACTTCGCTAGCTCTGAAAGCGTCTGCGTTTCTAAACGCAGATCACCCTTAAGATGCTCCACTCTTCCGAGCCTGAGGCCGGAAGGATTAAGGCATATGGCAACTCTGCTAAATAGGTAACCTGCCCAACCTCTTCCCCAAGTTGGAGCTCTGATTAATCAATAACCAGCCCACTTTTCCGCACGTCGGTCTGAGGGCCCAGGGGGCCCTGACGTGCAAGCCTAAGGCGGTGCATGCAAGGCGGTGGAGGCGCCGAGGGACCAGACACCAGGGCCCGGCCAGGCAACTAACAGAGCCCGGAGCCCGGCTGCCGAAGGCTGATCAATGCCAGAGGAGGGGAGAGTGCGGCATTGCGGGAGAACAAACAGCCGAAGATGCCCCTGAAGGAGCAGGAGCACGGGGGCCTGCCAGGATGCCGCTGACTGCAGCCTGCCCAAGCCGCGCCCCCGACGAGCTGGGCGGCACCGCCTAGGCCCCAAAGGCCGCAGCCAACACCACCATGGCGGCCCAGGAACGCCCACTGCGCAGGCGCAGCAGAGCACCGAGCGCGGGCGGGCGGAGTCACGAGCCGGAAGTACCCCTCGCTACCCGCCCTTCCGAACGACCCTTGGGCCGGAAGTTCCTGGAGCTCCCGCCTCTGGGCGGAACTCCGCGTTGCTGGGCAACCTCAGTGGGCGCGGCAGACTGGGTCTTCCCTTCTCGGAGGCAGCGGAGTGCATCCCCGTCCTGCTGCGCCGGGGGCCTCGCGTCCCGCCCGCTTGCCCGCGAGCCGCTTCCCTGGTCGCAGCATCCCTGCCCTTGGCACTACCTACACCTCTCGGGCTCCCACGCCTCCTTAGCCCCTACCTGCTTCAGAGCCTACCTCCACCGCAGTCGCGGCGGTTCAACCCCCGACATGGCGGCGGTGATGACGGACTCCAATCCCCGGGCCGCCAGGGCCTCGGGCACCTACACCTACACCAGCCGGCCCCGAGCCCTGCCATGCCAGCGCCGCCGCTACCGGGACAGCCTGTTGCAGCCGTGAGTGAGCAAAGTAGCTCCTGCCTGGTCGCCTTGCACCCCATCTGCTTTCCCTGTCCATCAAACAAACCAGTAATACCTACCTACCCGGTGCTGAGGAGTCGGACGCTGAAAGGCGCTTTGGTGGTAACTGAGGGGCTGGCCTGATGGATAATATGTACACGAATGTTTATTGCTGGTCACCACCAGACACCTCCCTGGGGGTATTCACATATGTGTTCTTAAACTGCAGTGCTCCCGAGTTCATTTCATGACTCCATCATGCAGATTGATGACTAAGTACAGAAAAGTCACGCACAGGTAGCACGCACCACGAGAGAGCGCCACATAAAGCCCTTTTTCACAACAGTCTTCGGGTAGAATTGGGTTAGCCGTCCATACAGGACCACAAAATGTATTTTTACACTGATGACTGTTTCCAAATATTCAGGCATGTGTATTTATCAAGGCCACGGTTGCTATGATTCACTTGGAGTTCTTTCCATAAGCTTCAAGTTTTAGCATAAGAGTTCTCTGCTAATTCATGGAAGCAGCAATCTCCGCTTCCTTGCCTATCATACATTTAACGCTCCATTCAAATTGTTAAAGTGGTGATGACACTGTTGTAACTCTTGGCCAGGCGTGGCCTGGGCATTTTTTCTTAGCACACGTGGAGGCAGAGGCAGTAAGATTTCTGAATTTATTAAATAATTAGTTGATTTCTATGTTGAAATAATGTGTTGGCTAATTGATTAGTGCATCAAAGTAGTGCAGAAACCATAGTAAAATTTCAGTCTCAAGAAAGGAGTTGTTTACAAATCATAATCATTAATACCTTTATGAATATGAATGGTAACATATATCCTTATGAGTAACAAAATTTTTTAAAGTTATCAAGAAGAATATTACTAGTTAAACTTGCTGGTGAGTCACTATTCTAGTTATTTTCTACTGCTGTGATAAGACACTGATCAAAACTAATTTGGGGAAGAAAGGGTTTATTTCCTTTTACACTTACAGGTTAACAGTTCATCACTGAGGGAAATCAGGGCATGAACTAAAGCAGAGACCCTGGAGGACCACTGCGTATTGGTGTGCTTCCCCCTGACTTGCTCAGCTATTTTTCTCTGTAGCCCAGGCCCACCTGACCAGGGATGGCACTGCCTATAGTGGGCTCCCCCCTCCCACATCAATTAGCAATCAAGAAAATCCCCCACAGATATGCCCACAAGCCAGTCTGAAGGACACAATTCTTCAACTAAGAGAGTCCCTCTTCCCAGGTAACTCTAGTTTGTGTCAAGTTGACAACCAGTACACTAATTATATAAATACACCCTGAGTACATATTTTTATGTCAGTCAGCCTCTATTCTACAAGGCCCTTAGCCCTGATTTGTTCTGTAATTTATATTGACCTTAATAAGTTACTTTTTCACATGATACATGGATAACTTAATATGTTTAAAGCAAGTCAAGGTTCCTAATTATCTTGATTACATATACACCTGGACTGAAGCCATTAGATGAAATTTAATAGATAGCTGTAAAATTTTATATGTAAGTATGAAAAGTCAATGCCACAAGTAGAGATGGGAGTGTCTGGTTTTCCACGGAGAGACCTTGAAACACAAGCCTGATATGGCCCTAGAGCTTCAACCTTTTCATAGAATCAGAAATCCTTTTTTTTTTTTTAAGCAAGCCTTGTACCTATTTATTTTAAACTTTCTAATGCATGATGGCTCGATGCATTTTTTTTCAGTTTCAAATCTCAAGTTTTTCAGTTGGCCTAACCTTGTCATATAAGAAGTACGAGCTCATATTACCTAGCATTTACTAATTCTTTGCCTGGGAAGCTTCCATGAACACACATAAACAGTTACCTGCAGCGAGAGGTGTGCGTGGTGAGTCACTAGGGAGTTGTTCATATTTCTTTTCCTGTATGCAACAGGATAACATTGCAGACATAGGAAGGGAAGAGTGATGACAGAAGGAAGTAAGAGATGATGTCTATACATTTGAAATTTCAGCATAACATCTACATGAGACACTGTATATTATAGAAATATAAGCTACAAATACAAATTGCATATTCAGTTTTCTTTTTTCTAGTAACTAAAGGGTAAAAATATAAAATTAATTTTAATAACTGCTTCCCCTCTTATACCCTAAACATATACTAGTAAGAAACTGTAACTGTTTGCCATATTAAGTCACCTAAATCTGGTATGTATGTTATGCTCAGAACACCTCATTTGTACCACCACATTTGAACTACTTAACAGCCACACATTGCTATCTACTAAAGTACAATGTGAAAGTCTAGGTCTTTTGGCATACAGCCAGTGCTTATTCAGTTATGCCTGTGTCCTGAGGTAGTGAGCATCTAACGTTTACATTTGGCTTCACCCTCAACAGACACTACTGCAGTGCAACAAAAATACAACAGAATCCTAATTTATGTAGTCAGGGCTTAAAAGAATATTCCAGCAGGAATGAACAAGGCATAACAAAAGTCATATCCATAATGGGTCCTTTGGTAGAAGGGTAGAAGGTAGTGTCATATATAAGACTATGGCAAGAGACTCAGACTATCACACACTGATAGTGCTGAGTAGACCTTCAAGTAGAATCACAAATCTTTGAAAGAGAACATTTGAATATAAGTCTTCTCACAAACAACAGACTGTAAGAAGCGTGACCACCCCTAATCTGGAAACCTGAAACTTTTTGAATGCCATGATGCCAGAATGGAAAATTCCACATAATGACTTCATGTGACCAGTCATAGAACACAGGTGCAGTAAAAATACTGTATATAATTACCTCCAGGCTATGTGTGTAAGGTGCACATGAAACTTGTGTTTAGACTTGACTCGTGTATGTGCAAAATGTAAAATGAATCTGAAATACTTTTAGCCCCAAGTATTTTGGGTATGAGTACTCAGCTTGTACTTATACTTGCTGACAGTTGAGTGATCATAAACACCATTTCCATCCAGCTTTAGGCATGTGCCCAAACAAAACTGTGATAATATCCTTATTTTACAAATCCTTTGTTAATGGACCTATAACCCTTCTAATAAGTACTTTTTATACAAAGAAATGATGAAATTATGTGTAACTTTTTTTTATACGGAATAATGGCTCCCTACATGTGTTCTCACTCTAATGCCCATAGCCTGTGAATCCATCCCCTTGTGTGGTCAAATGGACTTTTCAATGTAATTAAATTTAGGATGCTAAAATAGGGGGGTTATCCTGGACTGTCTAGGTGAGACCAGTATAATCTCAATGAACCCTTATGAAGAAAGGGAGGCTGAGTCAGAGGAGATATGAAAACAGGAGCAGAGGCTAGAGTGAGGCTGTATTAGTTTTCTCTCATTGCTATGATCAAATATCTCACAAAGCAATTTAAGGGAGGAAGGATTTGTTTTAGTTTATAGTTTAAAGGTATACAGTTCCTCATTGCACAGAAGTGAGGTGGCTGTTTGCACTGTATCTCCTGTCATGAAGCAGAGAGATGAATGCTGACTCAGCTTGACTTCTCCTTTTTATTCAGTGTAGGACCCCAGACCATGGAATGGTACCACCCACAATTAGAGGTGGACATTCTCACCTCAGTCCACTCTTAGAAACTCCCTCACAGACATACCCAGAAGTCTGTCTCCTAGATGACTCTAGATCCTGTCAAGTTGGCAGTATTAGCCATCATGGAGACAAATGCTGCTGGAAAAGAAGGGGTCACAAGTCTTGAAATTGGGGAACCATCTGGAGGCTGGGAAAAGCAAAGAAACATTCTCCCCGGTGCCTCCAACAGGAGCTGGAATTGTACTCTTGTGTTTGCTTTACCCAGATTGCCCTTCTCTCAGTTGTCTTACCTAATACCCCTCTTCTTCATCTGTTTCCATGTCAATACAGGAAAAGATTTGATCTCATCCAGCGGTTGTGATTAAGCTAGGGAATGTTGTTAGTCTTATAAGCATTAACTTGTACTCCTTGAAAGAATTCTTTTTTTTTTGGTCTTTTTGAACCTGGGTTTCCCTGTAGCCCCAGCTGTCCTGGAACTCATTATGTAGACCAGGCCAGCCTTGAATTCACAGAGATCCGCCTTGCCTCTGCTGGGACTACAGGTGTGCGCCACCATGCTCAGCTTCTTGAAAGAATTCTTAAACATTTGTTGAGTAGTTAGAGAAAAGGGCCAAGGAAATTTCAAATACCTTTTGAAGCACCAAGTGCTTATGTAATTTTCTCTGAAAGCAAATGTAAGCTTATGAGGATTCAAATAAAAATTAGTCCTTTGGGGCCGGCGAGATGGCTTGGCGGTTAAGAGCACTGACTGCTCTTGCAGAGGACCAGGGTTCAATTCCCAGCACCCACATGATGGCTACGAACCGTCCTTAACTCCAGTTCCAGGGGACTCTGACACCCACTTCTGACCTCTGTGGCATTGTACAACACAGGTGCACTCACATACATGCAGGCAATACACTCATACACATAAAATAAAAATAATAAATAAAATATATTTTTTTTAAATGAGTCCTGGCTGGGCATGGTGGTGCACACCTTTCATCCCAGCACTCGGGAGGCAGAAGCAGGCGGATCTCTGTGTGTTCAAGGCCAGCTGGGGCTACAAGGGAGAGCCTATCTCAAAAAGACCAAAAAAAAAAAAAAAAATGTCCTTTAAGGTCTCTGCCTCCTCCAATGACTCTTCATTCTCAGGAGGCCACAAGGGGGAAAGGGAGGAAGTCCTTTTGCTAGAGGACAGATGGCTGCGAGCTCCCCAGGGCCTAGCTAAGGCCCAGCCTCTGATTGCCTTCCATGCCTCAAGCAACCCCTTTTCTTTCCTTCTCTGAACTGGGCTTTTTCTTTTTGCTCTAAGTTTTCTAGATGTGTGTTTGATCCTAGTTTTAGTTCACATTTTACATTTATTGCCAGAGATAATAGTTTGTGTTTGTTCAAATACATAGGCAAAAAAGTGAAGCTCCATTTTGTCAGACTTAATATGCAGATGGGCTTTAATCCAGTGAGATTTAAAGAGGTTCCTAATAGTAATTGTTCCTATTTACTAAACACTGCTGCAGTGCCAGGTATTGTAACCCTCACAGCAACTCGAAGAAATAGGTGACATTGCTTCCATTTTCCCAAGGTCATACAACTAATATAGCCACAGTCTATACATGGATCAACTTGATAATCTGCCCCACTCGTGGGCTAGTTAGCTATGCATCAAAGCAGCTAGCTTCTTTATAAGTCAGCCTGTGAGAAGTGTTTACTGCGTATGTAAGCATGCTAGAATCCAGAGACACTGGCAAAGACAGATGTGCCATCACTCTTGTGAATCTTACCAAATGTTGAGAAAGGTACTAAACAAGTGTTAATGTCACTGCTACACCAAGAGAGCAGCAACACAAGCAGTGCAAGCACAGGAGGGTCACTAGCTCTGTTTGGGGTTAGTAAGGAGTGTAGTGTTAAGACCTGAGAAAATGGCCAAGTGAATTTGGAGTAGGGGAGGGAAGTGTTCTAGAAAGAAGAAATCTCGTGTTCAAAACTCCCATGAAAAATAAATCAGGTTTATTTGAAGACACTGTAGCCCTGTAAGACCAGTGTAGCCAGAAGACAGGGATGGACCTAGGAGGAGAAAGGCTCACCATTTCAGAGCTCTCAGTGCATGGTCACTTGGCTCCATGTTTCTGGGTCTTTGATGAGGCAGAAAGATGGTAGAAAGGGTGTGGTAGAACAGAGCTGCTCACTTCATGGCAGCCAGAAAGTGTGGGGTGGGGAATAACAGGAAAGAGCCAGAGCCAGTACACCCTCAGTATGCCCCCACTGCCTCACTTCATCTGACTAGACCCCTCTTTCCATAATTCCACCATCTTACAACCATCTATTCAAATTCTGAATCTAACAGTGGTTTAAACTGTTGACTAAGTTAGAACTCTGCTGATCTAATCATCTCTGGAACACCCCACAGTTTGCTTTACTAATCTAGGCATCTCTCAATCCAGTCCAGTCCAATCAAGTTGACACTCAAGGTGAACCATCAGTTTTCTTCATAGCACATCTTCTCCCGTCTTAGCAATTACTTGGAGAATCCCTCCAAACAATTGGAATTCTTCAATTATTTTCATAATGTTGTGATACCGTGTAGTATACATTTAACCATAACTTGTTAAAAATTTGCACTGGTAATAGATACTCAGTTTACTTCCACTTTTACTACAAAGGATGAGGCTTTGTTGGATAACTCTGTATGCTGGACTTTTTATTTCTATGAGGCAGAGGCTTAGGAATGTCATGGTTAAACCATATGTATTTTTTATGTGAACAAATAGAACACTATTCCTTTCCTCCAAGAATATTTAAACATACACTTTACATTCTTACCAGCAATAGTATTATGGATTTTGTTGTCTTGATCGTGTTAGACCAGTATTTTCCCTTCTTTCTTAATTAACACAAGGAGGCATTATCCAAGTCAGTATTGCTTGGTTATTTCCATTCTAAATATCAGTGGCTTCAATGTATATAGAATAAATCGAGGGAGAAATGTTGGTCAGTTAAGAGACTTTTTTGAGCTGGGTGTGTGCATTAGTCAGTTTTCTGTTGCTGTGATAGAAACACTGACCAAAGCAACTTATAGAAGAGAGAGTTTATTTACCTTACAGTTCCAGGGGAATTACAGTCCATCATGGCAGGGAGACGTGGTGGCAGAGGTGACTGGAGGAGGAGCAGAAGCTAAGCTCTCACATCTTCAAGCAGGCACAGGAGGCAAGAGAGGGTCTCAAGATCCAGCAAGGCTTAAGAACTCTCAAAGCCCATCCCCAATGACACACTTCCTCCAGTATAGCCACACCTTCTAAGACCTCCCAAAACAGCGCCACCAACTGGGGACAAAATGTCCAAATACTTGGAGCTTATGGGGGGCATTCTCATTCAAACCAACACAGTCCACTCCCTGACCCCAGTAGAGGCTTATGACCATATAAAATGCAAAATGCACTTAGTACAACCTTAAATGTCCCCATAGTCTCAATAGTATTCAAAAGTCCACAGCCAAAGTCTTTTCTGAGACTCGGGGATATTGCTTAATTTCCTATAAATTCCTTAACCCCTATAAAATCAAAAGACAAATTACGTACTCCCAACACACAGTGGAACCAACTACACATTCCCATTCCAAAAGGGAGCTAAAAGGGAGGAATGGAGGCATAGTGAGGAAATACCTGAACAAAACAAGGCCTAAAACTAGCAGGGCAATAAATCCAGTAGCTCCATGTCCAACTTCTGGGACTTTACTTTCAAAGGGCTTAGGTGGCTCAGCCTCTCCAGCTTTGGTGTGTGCAACACACATCTCTCTCTTTGGCTGGTACCACTCCCTGTGTGCAGGTCTTCTTGGCAGATCCCTCACAGCTTTGGCACCATAAACGTCTTCTTGGGGTCTCCATTGCCAACCAGGCTTCACCTTCACAGCTTCACACAGTGACCTATGGGGGCCTTCTTTTATTTTATTGCTTGGATATTTCTATTCTAAAATATCACTGGCTTCAATGTATATAGAATAAATTGAGGGAGAAATGTTGGTCAGTTAAGAGACTTTTTTGAACTGGGCGTGGTGGCACATGCCTTTAATCCCAGCACTCAGGAGACAGAAGTAGGTGGATCTCTGTGAGTTCAAGGCCAGCCTGGACTGCATAGCAAGTTCCAGGCCATCTTGGGCTACAAAGAGACCCTGTCTCAAAAAAGACCAAAAATAAATAATAGAGAGAAAGACTTTTTTGCCAGTCCAGCAAAAAGATATGTGATGGTGATGAACACTGAACAGATATAAGGAAGAATTCAGAGTGGGATAGTGGAGTCAATATTCTTGCTAGGTGTAGGTCTGGGAAGAGGAAAGGGGCATTGATGACTCCTGGTATTCTGGGTTAAGTCACCTATGGTTAGTGGCACCATTTACTGAAATAGAAAACGCTAAAAGTAACAAGTTGGAACAGGAGTAGCTCAGTTTTGAACTACCTTCCAAACATCCTAGTGCAATGTCTTTAGGCAACTATGGATATGCCTAGAGTTGAGTGTTCTGATCTAAAAGGTAATAAAATAGGGATATGGATTATAATCGAAGCTTTTCAAATAGATGAGATCATCTAGGAACAAGAGGAAATTGAACTCTGAGGAAATCCTCCAGTACAGAGAAGAAGCAGGGACAGTCAGAAGAAGCCTGTAATGCACAGGGCTAGAAGAGTGTCTCATGTGGGAGTGGCCAACTGAGCTGAACTAGTCAAAAACCAAGAAAGGTGGGCCACAAAGCATGCTGGATGTTCAGGAGAGGCTCCGGGCTGTGTCAGCAGCCTGGTCCTAACCCAGCCATTTCTGATAGTGCGTGTCATTGCTGTAGGTCAAGAATGGACTTTGCAACTATAGACAGAATGACACTGAAGAACTTTGAAAGTATCACTTTGCATTTTTAATTTTCACTATCATTCTGAGTCCTCAAACTAAAATTGTATTTAACATTTTTAACAATAACATTTGGGTTTAAAGAACAGTGAGAAATTTTACTTATTTTTAAAAGCCTGATTCTTTTATTAAATATGCATTTTCAGTCCTTGAATTTTTTTCAGTCCTTTGGGATAGGCTCCTTTTCATGTTCATTAAACAGTCTTAAATGTTTACATCCTAAGTCCAGTTGTGCCTCCTTTTAACAAGGAGGGTTTGGACAAGGTCCTTTCTGTTTCTCTTCTGTTAAATAGGATTAATAGTTCTCACCATGGAGCTTACTGTGAACAATAAATAAAATAAAATGTGTGAATAACCAGGCTTGTAATAACCATTATATATTAATAGCTATCTGTCACCATAATTTATGGACCACACTAAAATTTCTTTTGTGAAATTTTAAATTAAATTTTGTTAAAATGATTTCACTCTCTGCCAGCACTATTTTATTCACTTAGAATTTGCTGTTTTACAGAGCTGAAGAACCCTCCCATTATGGAAACATAATGTATGACAGAAGGGTGATCCGAGGCAACACCTATGCACTGCCCACAGGACAGGTGGTAAGTGTTTGACTAGTAGTCCTAGTTTAAATCTGTTGCTGTAACAAATGCCATGACCAAAAGCATCCTGGAGAGAAAGTTTTCATTTGACTCACAGTTCCAGGTCACAATACATCATTGAGGCAAGTCATGGCAGGAACTGAAGCAGAAACATGGAATGCTGCTTACTGACTTGCTGTCTGGCTTGCTCAGCTAGCTTTCTTATATAGCTCAGGCTCACCTGCCTAGACATGGTGCCACCGCACAGTGTGCTGGTCTTTCCATATGAAGACAGCCTCTCACAGACATGGCTACAGGCCAGTCTGATCTGGGTAGTTCCTCCATTGAGGTTCCCTCTTCCCAGGTGAATCTAGATTTGTGTCAGATTGACAATAAAAACAACTAACACAGTAATCTAACACAGCTCTGATGTTGTCTGGTTGTCTGTAGTGAAGGAGCAGTTTGTGTGTTTGTATCAAATACTAACCCATTACGGACTAAAAAATAAAATAAAAGTGAATTAATAGAAAAGTGAGGTTTTTTTTTTTTTTTTTTTTTTTTTTTTTTGTTCTTTTTGAGAAAGGGTCTCTCTGTAGCCCCAGCTGTCCTGGAACTCGCTCTGTAGACCAGGCTGGCCTTGACCTCACAGAGAATCTAGCAGTTTGTGTGTTTGTATCAAATACTAACCCATTACGGACTAAAAAATAAAATAAAAGTGAATTAATAGAAAAGTGAGGTTTTTTTTTTTTTTTTTTTTTTTTTTTTTTGTTCTTTTTGAGAAAGGGTCTCTCTGTAGCCCCAGCTGTCCTGGAACTCGCTCTGTAGACCAGGCTGGCCTTGAACTCACAGAGAATCTACCTGCCTCTGCCTCCCAAGTGCTGAGATTAAAGGCTTGTGCCACCATACCCAACTGAAAGTAAAAAATTTTGAAGACATAGGAGCTGGGGTGTGAGTCAGTAATAGAGCACTTGCCTAGCGTGCACAGGGTCCTCAGTTCAATCCCTAGTGTATGTATATTAGCGTGTCTGGGTCTATATGTGTGCTTGCTGGGAACTAGAGGGAAAAGAAGTTATTGTCTGTTGGACAGAGTTTCAGTTATCCAAGAGAAAAAGAGCTGAACGATGGACAGAGGTGACAGTTCACTTCAAGACGATGAAGGCAGCAGGCCGTTCTTCCCTTACTGCCACACCTGCTCCCCTCTTTCAGAGTTCTGAATAAACTTGTTTGCTTTCTGCACTCATCTAAAGGTTGAATTCTTTCACCAACCTCTAAAATCCCCCACCACAAAAAAGAAAAAGTGTTAAGTTTTACTTCATGTATATTTTAACAACATTAATAACTTAAAAATGAGCCCTATAGGGGCTGGAGAGATGGCTCCGCAGTTATGAGCTCTCTGACTGCTCCTGCAGAGGACCCAGGTTCAGTTCCCAGTGCCCACACAGCAACTAACAACCACCTGTAACTCCAGGAAATCTGATGCCCTCTTCTAACCTTCGTTGGCATTGCATGCATGTGGTGTACTTATATGCATGCATGTAAAACATTCATATACATAAAAATAGACATACATACATAAAAATAAGCCCTAATTTTTTGTTCAACAGAACTCTGGCAAACTCCTCTAAAAGTTTCTAAATGTTTATTCCAATTTTTTATACTAAATCATTGCAGACCAGTTTAAGCAATTCACAAACACCACTAGCCTGAGGCCACTCTCTGGCCAATATGTAACATGCTTAGTTTTGCTTAGATTATCTCATATTCTACTACCATTACTGCTTTATCAAAAAGTCTGAATTATGTGCTTTTCTTTAACCCAATCAACAAATACTGAGTTTTAGATTCTGGACTGGGTGGTTAGAGAAAGATGAAAAGACATATGATGTCAGAAAGGGCAAGAATCCTCAGCACAGGAGGGAAGTCCAGCATAAGATGGTCATCTGTGGAGTTAGTGTTACACAGTCTGAAGCAGTAGATCCCACACTGGGCCTGCATCAGAATCACCTGGAAAACTGATTAAAAACATGTGTTTCAGCCCTGCCCTGAACCTCCTGCATTAGGACTTTCAAGGCTTGGACATGGACTATGCATTTTTAATAAGTTCCTCTAGATAGATAGTTGGTGTACAGCCAGTTCAGAGTACAGCCCACACATGATCTAGACATATGTTTCTTCACTTTCTTCAGCATACAGTGAACACTGACATATCAAAAACAGAAAAAAATAACCTTTTTCACAGCTTCTTCAGTCACGTAATCAGCACCTTACTTTAAAAATGTCCTGGAGGCTGGAGAGATGTCTCAGCAGTTAAGAGCAATGGCTGCTCTTGCAGAGGACCCGAGTTTGATTCCCAGCTAACAACCATCCTTAACTCTAGTTCCAGTGCCCTCTTCTGACCTCCTTGGGCATTGCACGGCATGGGTGCACTTACATACATGCAGACAATACACTTGTACACATAAAATAAAAATAATAAAAAATTTTAAAAATACGTGCTGGACATTATGTGCTCGTGTACTCCTTTCTGCCTGTTGATTCAACTGAGGAAGGATTGCTGAAGCTCCCATCTCTCTGCTGTCACATTAAGTCAGAGTCTCCTAAGGAGCCTGAACGGTTGCAGAAGCTCTTCATTGGTGGGCTGAGCTTCAAAAAAACCCATTACAATCCGAGGAGCCATTTTGAGCACTGGAGAACAGTCACCATCTATGTGGTCATGAGAGATCCAAACACCAAGTGCCCCAGGGGCTTTGGGTTTGTCACACCACAGTGGAGGAGGTGGATGCAGCTATGAACACAAGACCACACAAAGTGGATGGAAGAGTTATTAAATCAAGGAGAGCAGTGTCACAAGAAGACTCTGAAAGACCAGGTGCCCACTTAACTGTGAAAAAGATCTTTGTTCATAGAATTAAAGACATCACTGAGGAGCATCACTTATGAGATTATTTTGAAGAATATGGGAAAATCGAAGTAATTAAAATCTTGACTGACAAGGACAGTAGAAAAAAGAGGGACTTTGCTTTTGTCACCTTGGATGACCATGACTCAAGATAGGCTTGTCATTCAGAAATACCGTACTGTGAATGGCCAGAACTGTGATGAAAGAAAAGCCCTGATGAAGCAAGGGATGGCTTGTTCTTCAACAGAGGTTGAGGTAGTTCCAGAAACTTTGGTGGTGGTCTTGGAGGGAGTTTCAGTGGCAATGACAGTTTGATTGTGGAGGAAAGTTCAGTGGTCATGGTAGCGTTGGTGGCAGTGGGGATGGCTATAATGGATTTGGTGATTATGGAAGCAGTTTTGGAGGAGGTGGAAGCTATAATGATTTTAGCAGCTACAACAACCAATCTTAACATGTTGGATCTTCTGTGAAGTAGGGAAGCCTCAGAGGCAGAAGCTTAGTCCCTTATGTTGATGGAGGCCAATACTTTGCTAACCATGAAACCAACATGGCTATGGTGGTTCCAGCAGCAGCAGTAGCTGTGGCAGTGGCAATGGCAGGTTTTAATTACTACCAGGAAACAGCTTAGCAGGAGAGGAGAGCCAGAGAAGTGACAGGGAAGCTACAGATTACAGCAGATCATGAACTCAGCCAAGCTCAGTGGTGGCAGAGCTGAGCTGCTACAGAGAACATGTGTTTTAGGCACTACTCATGTGTATGAGAAAAACACTCCAGGACTATTTGTGACTAATTGTGTAACAGGTTATTTTTGTTTCTGTTCTGTGAAGTGTAAAGCATTCTAACAAAGGTTCTAATGTAGACTTTCCACCCATGCTGTTGATTGCTAAATGTAACAGTCTGAGCATGACACTGAATAAGTGTGTCTTTTTAAAATAAAAATTTCTGGAGAGGGCTCAGCACTTAAAAGTGTTTACTGTTCTTGCATAATACCCATGTTTGGTTCCCAGCGCCCACATCAAGCAGTTCACAACCACCCATAACTCCAGTTCCAGAGGCCCTCTGCCCTCTGCAGGCACCTTGCACACACGTGGGGTACATAAACTCAAGCAAGTACATGCACACGCATAAATAAAGTAAAATCTTTTCTAATATTCCCTGAAATTTCCAGTTCTGTATAAGCAGGAACACACACATTCGTTCCTGTCCCTCCCTCTTAGGACTAAGAATGGCCAGACATGATTTAAGAAACATTGAAAGACTCCACAGTGAAAGGAAGACTGCAGACTGGCTAGGGACTCGATTGAGGAACAGCATAGCCATGTGTTCCTGAGTTTCCTTTTTGCCTCTTACATATCACACTTAGCATGCTGGAGAAACCTATAACCAAAACTACCCACAGGCGCAACTCCAAGAAAAGCCTGCCCCTGTTAGCCAAAGAACTGATAAAGGATCAGCCTTGCAGACCAGAAAATATTTTTGGCAGTTACACATACTCCAGCCAGACACTATGGGGAAAGCTGCCTGCCCCTCCCCACAGTATCAGTGAGGCTGAGAGTAGGGATCTGCTCTTCTACCTCTCACACAGAGGCAAGGCAGTGCTCTCCCCCCATTGAAGCACTGTCAACAAAGTAGAACAGGATGCTGAACCCCCGCCCCCCGCGACACACACCATCCATAGTGAGATGGCTAGTAAGAGATGATAAAAGTTGATACCCTGCTTTTCCTGGGGTGGTGTTAGCAAAACCAGTGGGGAGCTAGATTTTTATTCTGTCTAGTAGTAACAAGAAAGAACGATGCTGCAATAGTGCTGTAGTGCCCTCCTCCATCCAAACACTGGTGTCCACTGTACTACACACACACGCACGCACACCTGGTACCAAAAAGATGGTGTCAGGTCAGCATGGAGTCAACCTTCTATCTGCACTCAGACATGCACCTAGTGCAAAGAGTGACAAGATTAAAGTAGGATCCAAAGTCTCACAACATAATACCCATATCTCCTGAGAGACAATAAAAAGTTACTCATCAGAGAAGAACCAAGATAGTCTTTTTTAACACAGGATCTCCCTATAGCCCCTACTTGCCCAGAACTTACTATGTAGACCAGGTTGACCTTGAACTT